AAAAAAATGAAATCAGATTTAGTTTCCAAGTTTTTAACAAAAAATACATTTAGAGTCAGATTTAGTCAAATTTCTTGCATTATTTTAACACAATTTCGCGAAATTTGTTAAAAACTAACAAAAATGACACAAAATAAATTTTTCTGATTCATTTTTTTAACACTCTTTTTTGATACAACAAAAAGTTGTAATTTACTAAAAACTAAAACAAATCAAAAAAGACTCATTTTTGGAATAATCTTATTGATGCATTAATTGGACGAATTTTTTTATAGTTGGGTATGAATAAAAAACAGATCAGATTTATTAATTTTTGTATTTTTTTTTGATTTGACATGTTTAAAGCCCGACCCGGAGCATTTGAGAGGGCTTTGAACTATATCCTGTGTACAATTTATTATATTTTAGGTCTTGTCAAACTGGGAGTAAACTGCGTGACCGGAAAAAAGGTCGCAATCAAAATAATCAACCGTGAAAAACTCAGCGAAAGCGTCTTGATGAAAGTAAGTCCAAATTTGAATTTCCCTTCAAAAAAAAAAAAATAATAATACAAAAAATTTCAGGTAGAACGTGAAATAGCCATAATGAAACTTATCGACCACCCCCACGTCTTGGGCTTGACCGACGTTTACGAAAACAAGAAATATTTGTAAGTTATAACCGGAATCACGTGGCCACCCCTCACCCCCTTTTCCAGGTACCTAGTTTTAGAGCACGTTTCCGGGGGCGAACTTTTCGACTATCTAGTGAAAAAAGGTAGACTAACTCCAAAGGAGGCGAGGAGGTTTTTCCGCCAGATCATTTCCGCCCTTGACTTCTGCCACAGCCACTCGATTTGGTGAGTTTTTGGATCAAGGTTGTCCAAAATTTCGATTTTTCGTTTTCAGTCATCGGGACCTCAAACCGGAAAATCTCCTCCTCGACGAGAAAAATAATATCAAAATTGCCGATTTTGGAATGGCGTCGTTGCAGCCAATGGGGTCCATGTTGGAGACAAGTTGTGGGTCCCCCCATTATGCCTGTCCCGAGGTGATTCGGGGGGAGAAGTATGACGGGAGGAAGGCCGATGTGTGGTCTTGTGGGGTTATACTCTATGCCCTTCTAGTGGGGGCTTTGCCCTTCGATGATGATAATTTAAGACAATTGTTGGAAAAAGTGAAAAGGGGGGTGTTTCACATACCCCATTTTGTACCACCCGACTGTCAGAGTCTTCTAAGGGGGATGATTGAAGTTAACCCGGAGAAAAGACTAACGGTAAAAAATTTGTTTTTTTTTTATACCGGGTGTGGCATTTTTTATATTTCTTCGCCTACCGACTTTATTATTAAATGTATGAAAATAATTTTTTTACTTAATTGTATGGTTGGCAAAACTGGATTCACAAGTTTTTTTTGATTTTTTTTTATTCTTTATATTTTTTATGATACTGGATTAAATGAGTCACTTACATTTTTCAAAAAAAATTGAGTAGTTATCAATTTGACAACTAATAAAATGTCAAAAAATTAATTTTGTACTTTTCTTAATAAAGTGAGTAATGTAATTGCAATGTTGCCAATTTTTCAGCTTTCTGCGTAATTTTTTACTTAATTGATTTTTGGACATGTTTTAATAAAAAAAAAAAATAAGATTTAAAAAAAATGTATTTTTTTATATCGGGTGTGGCATTTTTTATATTTCTTCGTCTACCGATTTTATTATTAAATGTACGAAAGTAATTCTTTTAGTCAATTATATGGTTAGCAAAACTGCATTTACTAATTTTTTTTTAATTTTTTTTTATTCCAGGGTCGTACTTGACTTTTTTTATGATAGTGGATTAAAGGAGCCCTTTACATATTTAAAAAAAAATGAGTAGTTATTAATTTGACAGCTAATAAAATGCCAAAAAATTAATTTTGTACTTTTCGTAGTAAAGTCAGTATTGCTTGACGCGTCATTCTTGATACACCCTGTATACTTAATTGAGAAAAAATTGCAAGTTGTCAATTTTTCAGCTTTCTTAGTAGTTTTTTACTTAATTGATTTTTGGACAAAAATTAAGATTTTTTTAAAAAAATTTGTAGTTTTTTATACCGGGTGTGGCATTTTTTATGTTTCTTCACCTACCGACATTATTATTAAATGTACAATAATTTTTTTACTTAATTGTATACATAATTGGCAAAACTGCATCCACTATTTTTTTTTTTTATTTTTTATCATAAAGAAATTAAGATTAAAAAAATTTTTTTTTTATACCGGGTGTGGCATTTTTTATATTTCTTCGCCTACCGACGTTATTATTAAATGTACGAAAATATTTTTTTTACTTAAGTATATGGTTGGCAAAACCGCATCTACTAAATTTTTTTTGTTATTCCAGGGCCGTACTTGACTTTTTTATTACTGGATTAAAGAAGTCACTTACATATTTAAAAAAAATGAGTAGTTATCAATTTGACAACTAATAAAATGCCAAAAAATTAATTTTGTACTTTTCATAATAAAGTCAGTATTACTTGACGCGTCATTGTTGATACACCCTGTATACTTAATTGAAATAAAAATGCAATATTGTCAATTTTTCAGCTTTCTGAGTAATTTTTTACTTAATTAGTTTTTGGGCAAAAATTAAGATTTTTTAAAAAAAAATTGTATTTTTTTTATACCGGGTGTGGCAATTTTTATATTTCTTCGCCTACCGACTTTATTATTAAATGTACGAAAATAATTTTTTTACTTAATTATATGGTTGGCGAAACTGCATCCACAATTTTTTTTTGAATTTTTTTTGTTATTCCAGGGCCGTACTTGACTTTTTTTATGATACTAGATTAAAGGAGCCTTTTACATATTTCAAAAAAAAATGACTAGTTATCAATTTGACAACTAATAAAATGCCAAAAAATTGCAATGTTGCCATTTTTTCAGCTTTCTGAGATCAATAAGCACCCATGGGTGACAGCAGGCGGTAAAGGTGAGCTCGAACTCGAATTGCCCATGATGGAAGTGGTCCAAACCCATGTTTTACCATCAATTGAAGCCGTCGATCCTGACGTTTTACAAGCTATTTGTAGTCTCGGTTGTTTCAAAGAAAAAGAAAAATTGATTCAACACCTACTAAGTCCAAAGTAAGTCCAAATTTAGTTTTACAAAAAATTACAAAACATTTTTTTTTCAGCCACAATACTGAAAAAGTAATTTATTTTCTTCTCTTGGAGCGCAAGCGGCGTCGTCCGGCATACGAGGACGACACCGAATCAATCCTGAGGATGCGCGTATCCGAAACGTCGGATCCTCCAAAAAAGCGCATTGACACGTGTCGTGTCAACGGCCAAAGTGGCCTCCAATTCGGCCAAATCAGCGAGGGGTCCCCCTTGACCCCCCGGCGCTCCCACTACAAGCGCCACCACGCGAGACGCAGCCCCTCGACCGGAAGCACTCACAGTAGTCTCGGGATTCACTCCCCCACTCGATCATCGGGCGCCTCGAGCCCAATTATGTTCAATAGTACGACCACGCCCCTCAACACACACTGTAACTCCGCCCATTTGTACTCAAATAGCGCTAATTGGTCGCTTACAGCTGGAATGTCATCACCGGTGCAACGCGCCCATCGCTCATCCAACACCCACGTGACGGTAACTCCACCCCCGGCCACGCCTACACACCATCGGGCCAATAGCAGTGGCGGAACGGCAACGTCCTCCGTATTGACGTCACCGGAAAGTGATAGTTTGGGGGTGGGGCCACCGTCGATTCTCACAGCGATGACTCCGCCCGGTTCACCACATTCAACGGCGACGAGTCACCACTGGCGGTCTAGGCTTACTACGATCAAGAATAGTTTTCTGGGATCGCCGAGGTTTCATCGCAGGAAATTGCAAAGTGAGTGTGAGTTTTTTGGTTTTTAGAGCATTTGAGAAAGTGGACTAAAAAATATAAAAAAAATGTGGGTCACAATTTGAAAAAAAAAAGTTGGGTACGGTCCTGGAATGAAGGGACACCCTATACGGATCAAAGAAATTTTAGTGAATTTATCTTTATCAGTTATATGCCAGGGCAAAAAATTGCGGTTTTATTCTCAATAATAAGCCAAAAACAAGACCAAAACTGATTTTTGGATTCACCCGGTATACTATAGCCTAGTTTCAAACCCACAAAATCGTTCAAAAGTTCTTGTACGGAATTAAATATAAAAAATTTGAAAAAAAAATACACAATGAAACAGAAAAATGAAAAATTTTTGATTCTTATGTGAAATGAGTTTTATACAGGATGTTCCGTCTAAACCCCACATTAGAAGTATTAGGAGTTGGAATAATCGTATTTATTTGAAAATTAGTACATTGCGATAATCCATTAAGTCCTCCTAAATGAAAATATTTTCAAGATAGCGGTACTTCCGGTTATACCGGAAGTCGGTCTCAACTGTCTTATTTTAAATGGAAAGTTATATTTTTATTGCGTTTTTGGATTAATCGAGTTATTTTAAGGAAGTTTTCATTAGCTTTCCCTATACCTAAATTTAGCTGTTTTTGAAATATTTGGAGTTTTTCAAAAATTTTTGGATCTGCACTTACCACTTCAAAAATCGGTAACTCTGCCATTTTTTAAGATTTTGGATTCGTTTTTTGGAGTTTGCAAGAGAAGGCTTAGATGTTTCTTCTGGGAGTTTTCAAATTTTGAAAAAAAATTAAAAACCCCAAAATTTTAAAATTTGGGGTATTTCATTGAGAAAAATTGAGTTATGGGTATTTGAATTTTTACAAACCTTAAAATTTTAGGATTTGTTAATTCTCTTTTTAAAATTTGAAAACACCAGAAGAAAGATCTAAGTTTTCTCTTTCAAACGCCAAAAAAACGAATCCAAAATTTGAAAAAACGGCAGAGTTACCGATTTTTAAAGTGGAAGGTGCAGATCCAAAAATTTTTGAAAAACTCCAAATATTTCAAAAACGGTTAAATTTGGGTATAGGGAAAGCTGATGAAAACTCCCTTAAAATAACCCGATTAATCCAAAAACGCAGTAAAAAATATAGCTTTCCATTTAAAATAAGAAAGTTGAGACCGACTTCCGGTATAACCGGAAATGCCACCATCTTGAAAATATTTTCATTTAGGAGGACTTAATGTATTATGGCTATGTACCAATTTTCAAATAAATACGAATATTCGAACTCTCAAAACTTCTAATGTGGGGTTTAGACGGAACATTCTGTATACTCGTTTTCAAATTAATGTGCATCGAAATAGTCGCTGAAAGGGATCATTTTAACGTGGCACCCATGCAAAAGTTCAAACAATCCTAATCTCAATCTTTCTTAAAAATTATTTTTATTATTTTTTAAATAAATGTAAACCCCAGGTAGCAAAAAATAATTAAAATTAGCAAAAAATTTGTTCTGAATGACATTAATGACACTTCTTGTGTAAATCAGCCTTTAAATTAAAGATGTATTTAGACTTCTACAACCTACTTGATGCACATTAATACGTCACGTGATTGATTTTTTAGCATCATCAGAGGAAGTGCATTTGACACCGGAGTCGTCGCCAGAGTTGACGAAAAAATCCTGGTTTGGGAGTCTGATGACGACTGAAAAGGACGAAACGTTCACGATTTTAGTCAAGGGGAAGCCACTAGCGACGGTCAAGGCCGACCTAATCCACGCATTTTTGTCGGTAAGGAAGAAAACTGTAATTTTTGTTTCTTGATTTTTTTTAACAGATAGCCGAACTGAGCCACTCCGTATCGAGTCCAATGTCATTCCGTGTGGAATACAAGCGGGGAACCACCGGTCCCGCCATGTTCCAACGCCACGTCCGATTCCAAGTCGATATTTCAACAATAACAAAACAAGTTGGTGACAATGCAAAAGAACACCTCTACGCCATCACTTTCACTCTCTTATCAGGCAAGTTTCCGGTCTATTTCCCCCACCCACATACTGAAAAACCCGTTTCAGGAAACATCCGGCGTTTCCGGCGCGTCTGTGAACACATCCAGGCGCAAGTGTGCACCCGGAGACCTCCCCCCAGCCCCCGCGCCCAACGCAAATTCACCACCGAGCTGTCGGAGAGTTCGAGTTGTGGCTCCGATTCCAGCGAGCTGTATCTCAACGCCCGACAAGTATAACATATTTTTTCTAACGCTCAAACCAACTTTTTTCTTTCAGTTGAATGTTTTACAACTAGAAGGGAGCGATTTGGAGAGCGAATGTAGTGTTTTTGATGTGCGCACTGCCGTGAGGGAGGTCTCAAGGAGGGCCTCCACCAATAATAACACGGAAGGGTGCGAACAAAATACTCCGGGGACTCCCAAAGCCGTTCGGTCGAATTCGGAAAATACGGATTCGTGCGAGAAAACTTGTATTACGACCATGTCGGGGAGCTCTATAGCGTAATTGAGGGCAGGGGTGGCCAACGACTGCTTTATTATTATTATTATCAGGCCACTGGTATTGTTATTATTAAAAAAAAAAAACACTATTTAGCGGATTTCAGCAGAAATATGTCGACTCAAAAAATATAGTATCAATTTTTTGTCCAAAAATGACTTAAGTTGGCAATGCCGCCATTTTGCCACTACTGTTGCGCCTTCTAGTCACTTTTGTTCTCTTTCGGCGAATTGTTATAACGTTGCTTTTGTAAATATGCTGAAAGCTTATGTGATTTTGGATATCGTTCAGTGTAGTTGTATAAATTGTTAAAAAATGAAAAATAAATGTCAAAAACTAACCCCAAAAAGTGCGTAGTTAGGTGAAATTAAAGAAACTAAGACATTCTGTATATAACTACACTATACTCAAGCTGAGTCATATTTCCCCGTTTCAGAATCAACCAATACGACTTATATATAAAAAATTGTATTTAGAGAAATTGCCGGCCATATTGTCAACTAATATTTAGGATAGGTGATAACATTTCAAGTCATTTCGATTTTTATGTATCGACATATCAGGAGCTCAATATTTGTTATGTTGTGACAGTTTGAACGGGGACACTTTGTACCTTTGTAAATAAATTCAATTCTCGTGTAAATTCATTTAAAAACTCATTTTTCTATTGACTAGTTTTAGTTCAAACACACTGTTTTTGTTTTGTGGTTATGCACACATACGTTAGTGTTATAGTGAATTATTTTATATAACAAAAAGGAAACTAAAGTGAATATAGTTATGTGTAAGTGCTTGTAAATAATATTGTGATAAATAAATCAATTTGCACAATTTGGGTTGGTATCCTGTTCCAGAACGTATGTCTCACCTACACTGTTACCCTTAATAAAATCATTATTAAAACACCATAAAGAATAAATCGAAAATTGTAACAATGTCCTTGAGACGTTATCAATGCCCAATTTCAGTTAATTTCACACAAATTGGTTTTAAATCACATTTAAAGACCGACATTTGTTCAAAAAATGACAGAAAAAACGTCAGGCACTAGTTACGACACACGTCAAAGAAAGTGTCACTTAACCCGACTTGTTTTATTTATAATAGCACAGAAAAATATTACATAAGCTCGTTGTTACTAAAAACCACTTTGTGTTTCATTATTCAAGAGAAATAATTGACAAATTTATTAATTTTGTGTTGTTTGATTTTGATAATTTGACATTTGACAGAAAAACACCACAATGTCAATTAAATTTCTTTTGTAACCCAAAAATAGTCAAAAACCATGGCTGAAACTCTCCTAAATCAAGCATTATCACCCGATTTCGACCCCAAACCGTTCATCAAGTGGCTCACAAGCCCCAACTTGCAGGTATTTCACTCCTCACCTAACCTCACTTTAGTGTCAATCTCATTTCAGGGGGCCCACAGCGCCCATTACCCGTGCTCTCGCAGCGATTTTATCACGTTTTTTCTCAATTACGTCCACGAGGACATCGGTAGTGCTCTCAGCGACCGCAAACCCGACCCCGAAGACAGCAAAAGTAGCAACGAATTGAATCGCTCCCACAGCTTCCCCCTCGATTTAAGCGCGGAATTGGACAGTAGCGTTGCTAGTAGTACCCCAAAGATGCTCAAAGTGGGGTCGGATAGTAGTGTTTTGAGTCACATGAGCCCCATTTCGCCCATTCAAGGTTTCTCACCCAAAACTCTCTGTTTGGGGGATTTCCTGGTGAATACGCGGAAAGTTAAACGGAGGATTAAACCCACGAATTTGACCCAAAACACCACCGGGTTTCACAAGTCGGAAAATAGTTTTAATTTTAGCGGAAATGAGGAGTTTCCAAGTGGGCGAAGTTTGTTACTCGAGGAGAGACTGAAAGTGGCTTTTTCACGCAGTCCTAGGGCTTTGACTCGAGTGTCAGGGGGCGAAATTCAAGCCGAATTGAGTCAAGTCACTCATCGGTTTGAAATTGACCGAATTGTTCAATTTTATTGTGTTTTAATCGACGATTTTGTGGTTAATATCACGAGCGAAATTTATTTTTTAATCTCATTGCTTTTAAAAAAACAATTTTTGAGTAATGATTGGGGAATTGCGGTTTTGAGTGATAAAATAACAAGTTTCTTGTTTAATTCAATTCACAATGTTGTGTATTTTGCGAGTAAATCACTGGAAAAACAGGGCCGGATTTTGCGTAATTATGACAATTCAACGGTTCGGTTACTAACCGAAAATAACCGATTGTGTGAATTCGCGCCGACTTTGATCCAATCATTGCAACAAATTGTAAAACCGGACCGAATTTCCGAAATTGAATCGTTTCAAAATAACATTTGTTTTAATTCAGACACTGATAATCGTCAAAATTTCCCGAATGATTTATCATTTCATGCGTTTAAAAAACAGCGTGATTTATTTTATGACATTTTGCGTGTGTGGGAGCAGCACCATCTAGCGTCCGGTTTTAATTATGTGGTGAGTCTTGGCGGGAAAATTCAAACACTTTTGAGTCTCTCCAACGAACCCACGAATTTTATTCATTTCTCGCGCTTGTTTAAAGCCCAATTATTGACATGTCGCAATTCGGATTGTGACGATTTTGTGACAAGTCTCGATGTGGATGCTGAAAAACTGAATAAACTGAAAAATCGGTGTGTGACGAAGGAGACTTGTCATGGGTTGAATTCGTTGCCGAAGTTCAGCGAAAGTGAGGAGTTTTACAGGGATTTTATTGTTGTGGGGGCGAATTTTGTGTTTAATCGACATTTGGCCGATGCTCTTATTGAGGAGATAATTGAGTTGAATGAGAGTTATTTTAGTAATAATGAGGAAGAGGGTGAGAATAGTGTGGATTTGGTGACGAAAAAGTCGTATTATTCGTGTATTAAATCGTTGAGGATTTTGGCTAAGTTTTTGGGGTTTGTTGAGTCGTTGCCGTATAAAAGTCAGTGTGGGGGTTATTCGGAACAGTTGATGACCACGCATTTGAAAATACGAAAACAGGTGAGTGGAAAAATTATTTTTTTTTTAAATTTTAATGTGCTATTTTTGCACGTTTTAAATGTTTAAGTACGATTTTGGGCTTAAAACTTATTTTTTTGTGATATTTAGCTAAAAACACGTTGAAGAATCTACAAATTTCATTGAAAATTACTTAATTTTTGCTTTTATCGAATTTTAATTTTATAAATATTGTCAAAAACAAAGGAAGAAATTGGTGTTATTTTTGCCTTTTTCGGAAAGGAAGAGGAAAAAAAGAGAAAAGAGGAAATTACTAAATTAAGTCAGAAATGGTGCTATTGTACCTTTTTTGAACGTTAAAAGACGTTTTTAAATCATAATTTGTTTTTTTTGCAACATTTTGCAATATTGAACCGAAAAAGACTTTGTTTTAGTTTTTTTTGGGCTTTTATTAGGTTTTTTGGTCAAAAATCGAGGTTTCTTTTCTCAACTTGAAATTTTTCAAAACTGCGAAGAATGGAATCAAAAAAAATACAAATCATTTCAGCACATTTTTTAAAATCTAAAAATTAAAAAATAATTTTTCAAAATAAGGTTCAATATTGTTAAATTAGAGCAATAAACGTCTAATTTTCGCTTGCCTTTAGCAGTTTAGATTTTTTTGTTCGTTTCTATTATTTTAGAGCACTTTTACTTTTAATATTACAACTCTCAAAATTTAAAGGTTTTTTGCTAAAACACAGTGGAAAATTGCTAAAACTTATTATTTTCTATGAATTGATCAGCGTTTTTCAGTGAGAAATCTTGTCAAAACAAAACCTAAAGTAGATGTTTTTATTGTTATAAGAAAGATTTTTGTCAAAACAAGGTTCGAATTTAGAATTTTTTACCTAGAGACTAGCGAAGTTTGGAATTTTGATTTTATTTTGGGGCGACTTTGCGTTTTTTGGTTGAATATAGAGTTTATTCGTCAAAAATTAATCAAACAATTGCCAAATTAAATCCAAAATGGTGTTATTTTTTACATTTTTTTTGAGTGTTAAAGCACGTTTTTGTGTTAACAACTTAGTTTTTTTCAGAATTTTGATAAATTGCACAAAAAAAGCTACGAATTAGGTCGAAAATCATATCAAAAAAATAATTACTAAAATATATAATTTATGCTTTTTTCGAGCAATTTAGTACGTTTAGTACGAATTAGGTCGATTAGGGCTTTACTATTTTTGCACGTGAAAGTGTGTTTTTACGTTAAAAATTCAAAATAAGGTACAAAATTGCTAAATTAGATCTAGAAACGCTTAGTTTTATGAATTTAGAGCGTGTTTTTTTTATCGAGAAACTCACCAAAGTTAAAAATTTCGAAACGCAATCTAAAAAAAAAAAATTCAAAACCAAGCCGAAATTGCGTTAATTTTGTTGGTTTTTATGAATTTAAATCGTTTTTTTCTCAGAAATTTGTAAAGTTGATTCAAAATTTCGTTGTTTTTTGTTCGTTTCTATTAATTTAGAGCGTTTTTAATGTTAAAACTTACAAAATTCAAAGGTTTTTTTGCCAAAACAAAGTGAAAAATTGCTGAAACTTATTATTTTCTTGCCAAAACAAAACTCAGAGTAGGTGTTTTTGTTTTTATAAATTTTAATCGTTTTTTTTTACTGAAAAACTTACTCAAAACAAGGTTCGAGTTTAAATTTTTTTACCTGAATACTTGCGAATTTTGACGTTTTTTTGGGTGGATTTTGCGTTTTTTGGTTGAATATAGAGTTTATTCGTAAAAAATTTATCAAACAATCGTCAAATTAAGTTTAAAATGATGTTATTTTTACATTTTTGAAGTGTTAAAGTAGGTTTTTGTGTTAACAACTTAGTTTTTTGTGGAATTTTGATAAATTTGAGCCGGAAAATCTGCGAACTAGATTGAAAATTATATCAAAAAAATAATTACCTACTAAAATAATCTTGATACTAAAATTCACAAAATTTAAAGTTTTTTTTGCCAAAACAAGTGGAAAATTGCTGAAACGTTTTTCAGCGAGAAATTTTGTCAAAACTAAGCCTAAAGTAGGTGTTTTTGTTTTTATAAATTTTAATCGTTTTTTTTACCGAAAAACTTATTGAAATTGAAAGATTTCAATAGCACGTTTTTATGTAATTTAATTTTTGCGGAATTTTGCTAAATTGAACCGAATTAAGTCGATAATCATATCAAAAAAATTACTAAAATACATAATTTATTCCTTTTTCGAGAAATTTAGCACGATTTTAGGGAATTAGGTCCATAAGGGTTTTATTTTTTGAACGTTCAAGTGAGTTTTTAAGTTAAAAATGTAATTATTTTTCAAGATAATGTAAAAAATTGCCAAATTAGATCTAGAAACGCCTGATTTTTGTCTAGTTTTATGAATTTAGAGCATTTTCTATCGAGAAACTTACCAAAGTTAAAAAAATGGATAAGCAATTTAAAAAAAAAAAAAATGCAAAAACAAGCCGAAATTGCGTTGTTTTTGTTAGTTTTTATAAATTTAGAGCGTTTTTAATGGAAAAATTCATAGTATTAAATTGGATGATTTTTGTCAAAACAAGAAACTGGCAATGTGGAATTTAGACGTGGAAAATTTATATTTTTTCGGGGAGATTTTGCGTTTTTTGGTCTAAAATGCGAAATTTTCTCAAAACATAATTAGTAAAAAGTTGATGTTGGTGAAA